CTCTCTCTCTATTTTTTTCTCTCTCTCATACTCATAACAATAAATGGAACAAAACTCTCTCTCTCTCTCTCTCTCTCTCTCTCTCTCGTGTTAGCTCTTAGTCTCATTGATTTGGCTACCTTAGGGCTGTGTTCCCCGCGCGCACGCGGTAGACAATTAGTGTTGATGGTTTCGTGTTTTTTTTTCATTTCGATGTTACGGTTGGTTTTTCAGCCTTTTTCATTCTCCTTCTTGTCATCCCTTCAGCGTTGGTTCTTGCCTGTTTTTTTGTAGGAGGGGTGTGACTGATAGTACGCGTTTTTTTTTCTTTTTTTCTTTTTTTTTTATTTTAAAAAAGCTATATTCTTCTCTCAATTTCACCTCACACTACCTACCTACCACTACTCCTAATTGTAGGCATTCGGCTTGGTAGATTTTTTTTTTTTTTTTTTTTTTAAACTATACTCCTCTCAATTTTTTCCTCCTACCTACCAGTAATACTCCTGCCTATAGGCATACGGGGAAACCCGTAGCATACCAGAGCTGTGTTTTTACGGCCCCTCGAGCCTGCAGGATACCGGCCAGGGGACGGCCGGTAGCACCAGGGATAAAGCGGAACAATCCCCCGTGCCTCCCCTCAGGCCCCTCCCCTACGAACATAGCAGACTCTGCTTGATGCCGATCGGGGGATCCAGTGGTCTATCTCTTGGGTCGCGGGTGCCAAGTAAGCCGAGGAAGGCATGAGGCCAGTGGGGATTGAACCCATGACCTCCTGAATGCCACTTGCGAGCCTTACCAACTGAGCTAGTCTGTCTGCTTTTGGGTGGAGTGGTTTTGCAGCTGTTTTTTTGTGAGGGCGGGGTGCCTGGCGTGAGTTTTGAGACTGCGTACGCAGGGACGGGGATCTGAGCTCCAGGCGGGCCAGGACAACCCGGCTGTACTGTTATATTGGTGACTCTGTTGTTGTAATACCCCTTGGGAACTGGGCCCTGTTAATAAAAGTGCAAAAAAAAGGAAAAAAGGTAAGTACGTGAGGATAAACAAAAAACAAAAAAAAGAGTGAGATGGGGAGAGAGGAGGTGGAGTGAGGGAAGGGAGTGTGTCGATGGTTTTCGGAATCTGTGCAAGGAATGATTATTTTTTTTTGGGTTTTTGGCTGCCGACGGTCGGGAGACGAGGAGGCGCGACTACCGGTAGTAGGTAATGAGACCTCGCGAAGGTCTGCCACGTGTCAGTCCCTGGGCAGCTGCTGATGCCAGGTGTCAACAACACTCCCTTCCTCTGATACGTGGCGAACTTCGCGTTGTCCTCCCTTGCCATCGAGGAGCGTCGGCGATCCTTCACAGCGTTGGATTGATTGATTGATTACCCGTTTAGTACGTCTCTGCTCCCGGACTTGTCGGACGGACGGCGAGGGCGAGGCAACTACTGCTGCCTGAGGGCGCCTGAGGGCAAGGTAAATGCTGACGTGTCAGGGTAGAGAGAGGAGTAGGCCGCACTCACGGCGAAGACATGCTGAGGTGTCAGCGAAGAGAGAAGCAGACTGCACGGCAAAGACAAATGCTGACGTGTCAAGCGTAGGGGGAGAGAGAGAGAGAGAGAGAGAGAGAGAGAGAGAGAGAGAGAGAGAGAGAGAGAGAGAGAGAGAGAGAGAGCTGCACGGTGAAGACAAATGCTGACCACGTGTCAGCAACTGCTGACGTGTTAGCGCACGTGGATGATCGGCGGGTCTAAGGCACTGAATGACGTTGCTTCCGGGAAGACGACGGCGTTGTAGTGATTGGCCCTCTGACGAATGCACAGTATTACAGTAGTTAAGTAATTGATTAATCATGTAGTTAATTAAGTAAACAGGGATTGCTGGATTGGTCAGTGCTCTCAGCAGCGTCAGTGAGAGCCCGGAGGCGGTTTGATTTGCCAAACTATATATATACACACATACATAAATATGTATGTGCGTGGGTTTATGTATGTGCTATATTGAACAGGCGGAGTTTTCCTTCCTTCCTTCTTTCCTTTTTTTTGTTTTGTCTTTTTCCGCCTTTGCGCTCCGTGTGACAATATATATACAATATATATATGCATGTGATAACTTTGTGACGACATATATATACATATGTATATATGCATGTGATTATGTAGGAAAGTGTGTGGAGGGGGAAGTAGAAGGTGGTGGTTGGAGGGAGGTAAACAATTGAGGGGAAGGAAATGAAGAGGGAGAGGGTAGGTAAAGAGGGAGGAGAAGTGGGGAGGGCGGGGCGAGGGGGAATGAATCGGGACGATCTTTGTCTTTATCCGTTCTCATAATTGGCGGGAAAGTCACAGCTGTGCGGCCTAGGCGGGAAGTGTGGGCAAATTTACAACGTAGGGGGAGATAAAAATTTAGAGGGAGAGCGATGGGGAGAGGAGAGGAGGGAAGGGAGGTTGGTTGGTGGGGAATCGTGACCGTGATAATCGTTTACTATTTTTCGAGAATTCGCGGGAAATGGATTGGCGGGAAAGTGACAGGTGTTCGGACCTACGCGGGGTGTGTGTCTCTCACGTGCGGCGTGCACAGCCCGCCCTTCGGGAGCTGTGGCTTCGAGTGCTGCTGCTGATGTTTTGTGCGGACAAGGCGTGAGAAGAAAGGGTGCTCGTTCAGACCACCTCCCTCTTCCTCCTCCTCCTGGTAGTCCTCCACCTCGCACTCCTGTTTCTTCTGCTTCTTGTACAATCGATTGGTTATTGGTTAATCAATCAACGAAGCCAATAATGCCAATCAAGTGGGAGGTTGGGGAGTTAACCACGTATAGCTGCTCGATCTGAGGAAATAGTGGGGAGGGAAGGGGTTGTACGATGTTGGCGGTGAGTTTGGGGGGTGGGCCGAAAAAGAAGTGGAGAGGGGGAGGGAAGGAGGAGGGAGGGAGGGAGCGGTTAATCGTCGGGAAGCTATGCGCATGGCGACACGTCTCTTCGTCCTCTACTGCTGAATCAATCGATCAATCAATCTGGTCCACCTGTCAATCGATCAGCTGTTCAAGGAATCCATCCATCCATCCATCCATCCATCCATCTATCACCCAATCAACCAACCAATCAAGCAAGTGCGACAGGCATAAGTAAGGGTATCGGGTTGTGTGGGGGGATGTTCGGAAGCATAGTGAAATGCTGAGCGCAGAAGTAGGCGGGACTGGGAGGTAAACGTCCAAGGACCTCCCACCTCCCTCGCCTCTTCCGCCTCCTCCTCTTTTTCGTCTTGGGTTAATCAGCCAGCTGATTTGGTAGCAGGACCTGAGTGGTCAATCAAGAGACAGGAGGGTGGGGAGGCGGGGGCGGGTTGCGCGGGTGAGGGGGTGAGAAAGGGGAGTTGGCATGGCTAATGGTGTGTTCGATGACCGCAGAGAGTACTGGGATTCAGAAGCAGGGCCGGGGAGGTGGCATTGGGACAACGGCATCGACAGGCGGGCTGGGTGGTCGGCGACAGGGGTGCAAACCCCTCCTCATACCCTTGGAGTGACCTCCGCGGCACATCGCGTCTGTACCGGGGGGTTGGGTTGGGATAATGATGAGGATAAGGAGGGTAAGGAATGGGACCACTTCTGCAGCATCAGCGATGACGGAGAACAGAGTCGCCGAGTCGGTGGCGGCGGGTTCACGACGAAAGGCGCAGCTGTAAGTCTAGCAGTGGCGGCGGTGGAGAGTATCGTTGGAGAGGGGAGAATAGGTGGTTTCGCGCCAGATGGGGGGAAGTGGAAGGGGGTGGGGAGTAGCTGGGAGCCGCGAGGGATGTCGGCGGATGGTGGATGGTTGCCAGCCCTCGGGCGCGCGGCGGCGGCGGCAGGCTGGGGAGCTTGCGGGGAAAGCGGAGATAACGGCGGCGGCGAAGGAAGTGCGCGGCGTCTTCAGTACAGATGGGATGGAGCGGCGGAAGCGGTGTCCCGATCTGCATCCTGCGGTGACAAGCTGGACCTAACAGAAGTACTCACGAGGACGCCGGGCATGGGGTCTGGTTCTCTTCCTCCTCCTCATGCGCTCTCTCGCCGTCTTCCTCATTCTCCTCCTGCGTGTCCATCGTCCTTGTCGTTGGCGTCGCTCTGGTCTTGGATCACGGCACGCGGGGGCTCGGCGGCGGACGGGATCGGTATTGGGGTAGGGCCCATTCCGCGTGACAGCTCAGCTTTGTTGTCGGGATCCTCGTCATCGTCTTGGTTGCTTGAGTGTATCAAGCGGAACGGCATCGCAACGGCTCTCGGGGGGCTGAGCGCCGCCGCGTCGGCGGGGGGGAAGTCGGGGGGCGGTTGGTGGGATAGAGTAGGGGGAGGAGGAGGAGGCATTGAGGGAGGGGGAGGAGGAGGAGGAGGATGGATTGACGGTGGAGGAGGAGTTAGGATGATCAAGAAGATGAAGAAGAAACCGCCGAAGCCTCCGGGAATACCACTTCCACCTCCCAGGCGGCCTGTTGCAGCAGCAGGAGGAGGAGGAGGCGCAGACGGAGCAATAGGAATAGGAGGAATTGGAGGAGGGGTGGGGGGAATATCTGGATTTCCCCCTGTGCTGAGAGAACCCCCGCATGGGTTAATGATGATGCCCCAGCAGCGACGTCGAGGCCGCGGAGATAGAGCTGCCGGGGGTTTGATTGGAGTACGAGAGAGGAAACCGTTGGTTCCACACGAGAGAGCTAATCTGGTCCTCGGTACCATTTTGGGACTCTGCTTTGCGGTGTTGATGTTGTTCCAAGGTATGTGTCCATGTAGCCGCCATCCTTTTTTTTCCGTTTTTTTTGGTTGTTCGCATGCAGCCACCTTTTTTTTTTTTTTTTTTTCATTAAAGCGCAACGGCCTCACCGACAAGATCCCTGAGGATGGCTGGTGTGGCGACCAGCCGAAACCAGTCGGGTCGCGTCACGGTTAACGTGCTCATTCTGTGTTTCACTTTTTTCAGACAACGAGTTACGTTCAGGAGTTTTGCCATTACCATTTTGCATGGGGTCCTCTTCTTCTCCGAATGACTTCAGCTCTATGTGATGGTGTGCTAAAGCGGTGTTTCTTGGCTGATTTGGTTGGTCGGTTTATCGATTGTGGTCATCAACAACGAACTTGAGATATCATCATTTGAACTGACGGGGCCTAGCTAATTCAAATTTGCAGTATTTTACTAATTTTTACTCGTCTGCTTCATCTGCGACAAGTAGAGTTCGAACTCAGGTCTGCCGCAGTTTCAGACTTTTCTGAACGGAAATCTTCATGTCCTGCTGGCGGGAGCCCGGCAAGCCCTGACGATTTCGGTTGAAAAAATGAGGAAATGGCGGCTAGGTACGTCAGAGTTAAATGCCCAAAGGTGTAATTAGTATTCATTAGTATTCAAACAAAGAGCGAATTGAGACTCTTCTGTTTTTGTTTTTTTAATTTTGTTTTGTTTTTTCTTTTTCCCGCAGGCAACGGGGGCATTTCTACATTGAGGGGACCCAAATTATGTATTGGTTGCTGTACGTGTTGATGTTATCCCAAGGAACATATTTGGAGAGGAGGACGCAGTCTTGGCGGTATTCTCACACATGTTGGTGTTATGCGTGTTGTTGATGTTTCCCCGCTTTCTTCCCGAGTATGTCGATGTGATGATTAGACGGTATGTACTGTAATTAGCCTTATGATGATGATGTCTAATCATGTGTAATGGCGGGGCGAGGGCGGGGGCATCATTGTCCTTATGATGATGATGATGATGATGATAACGTGTAATGATGGTGTGTAATGGCCTGCCGGGCCCAATTATCTTACACGACCGACGCTGCCTACCACCTTTCCTTTCTCTTCCTGGTCTCCCTTTCCCTCGGGTTCCCTCCTCCCCTCTCCGACCCCGCAATTACCCCCTAATTTGTGACTTTGGGATCCGGTACAGTCACACGGCAGGCGCATTTGAAATACGACACAGTTGCGACCGTGGGAAGTTTGAGGTATTGTGTTGTGGCGCCGTCACACACTGCTGCTCCCAGATCTTCTCCTTCCCCCCCCCCCTTTGTTGACCGTCGAAGTTGTTTCATATGAATTAAAAAAAAGAAATTAAAGGGGGGCATTTGCGGAGAGACCTCTGGAGGTGGTCACAAATTCCCTCACCCCTTGGCTTCCACGTCGCTGACCTTTGCGGCCTGGGATAGATCAATAGAGATGTTGGGCAGGTTGTGTGACTAAATTTCCACGATGATTTTGTGATTATGCGAGTATAAAGGGCGAGTGTGAGTATTTTGCCCTCGTACTGCTATCTTAACTTTTTCCGATTTTTCTCTCGTGGACGGAATCGTAATGTCCTGATGTGTATTTGGCCGAAAGACTAGTAGAACGTTGCCTTGTCATCATAACGTTGTGATGATATGCTGTGTATGAATGGTTCCGTTACGATTCTATCGTGATTTTCGATTCAGTAATGGATATAAGATGAACCCCCCYCCCCCCCCCCCAAGAAACTATATTTGATGATTATTCAAACGAACAAAGGAAAATCAAATTTCGTGTTACTTCATGGTGAATATAGAATTTCCTCTGTTCCTACGTGCAGATGGTTCATGAAATCGTGACGTTCTCCAGTAAGAGCGTTCTGACCTATTTTTCGAATTTGTGTTCGCTCTTATTCCTAAAGGAATAGCGTAATGGTAACGTTCTCTTAAAAAGAAAAAGGAAAAGAATATCCGCCCTCACACGTTGTGGGAATCTGTCTTTTCCTCTAGGCTTTGAACATTGTCTTTTAATGTAAGACCGTTGCTCGATTTGTGTGTCATCCTTGTGCAGGGGGCATGCTAAATGTCTTTTCTCTTTATTTTATTGTTCTTCTAATTTTAATGGATGCCCCGTAGGACACTTTGAACATCATGTATAAGCCTGGATCTTTCTTTCAGGCTTGAAAATGATCTAAAAGCCTAATCTAAAACTGAAAAAATTATGGGGCAGGAGGCATACAGGAAACTTGTTCTCTATTCTCTGCCTCTTTCTTTTTTGTTCTTGGGCAATGCAGAGGATACCAGAGTTGTCTGCTTTGCCACACAGTACCAACGGTCCCTTCTGCTGACCTCCTGCTGTGGCTGCTCAATCTGGCAACAATTGTCCTGTCACGTACCATTTGCTTCTTCGTTTTTACTGCGTGCACCGCTTTGGTCCTCTTGTGGCTTTTTATTTTTGTTTTGTTCTTGTTGACTTGTACTATTTGTTTATTTTGTAGCCTTGTTGGCGCTCCTCCTTTTATTTTGGGTTTGGGTGTTTTGACCTGGAGTACTGCACGCAGTTCCGGTGATGAGGCTCGAAGAGCGGTTGTTTCCAGGGTTTTCCATTTCCCTTTTCCCTTCCCCTTACCTCGGGCTGCTTAATCATCTGTGTTTGTCATTGTTTGTTTGTTTTTCGCCCCCTTTTTTTTTTCTTCCTTGGTCCAAGTTTATCTTGTGCGTTTCTCACTGGAACACAGAAGGCTTCTGCTTCTTCCTCTTCTTTGTCGTCGTTGTCGTGTGTGTGTGCGTGTATGTCTGTGTTTGTTTGTGTGTGTGTGTGTATGTCTGTGTTTGTTTGTGTGTGTGTGTGTGTGTGTGTGTGTGTGTGTGTGTGTGTGTGTGTGTGTGAGAGAGAGAGATAAGTGTTTCTCCAACATTTCATTGTTAAATATTATTTGGGTATATAGTCAGTCCTATATCAGAGAAAACCTAAGAACCTCTTTTCCAGTTTTGATGATTTCAGCATCTGTTAAAGAACGATTTAAATGCAAAAGAAACTCTGTGTTTGTTTGTGTGTGTGTGTGTATGTCTGTTTTTTTTTTTTGTKTGTGTWTKTCTTTTTTTTTTTTTTTTTTTTTTTTTTTTKTKTTTTTTTTTTTTTTTTTTTTTTTTTTTTTTGTGTGTGTGTGTGTATGTYTKTGTTTGTTTGTGTTTGTTTKTGTGTGTKT